TAGCTGGATGTTGCAAATTGTCAGATAATTCAGCCATCACCTGTGGGTTGGCAGGGTTTGCCATGGTGTCTGCAGTGACTAGGTTATGATAGGAGCTTTAAAAATGTTGGTGGAATTAATTTTTTGGTTTTGTTTTTTTCGGTGTTTTTTTTTTGGTTTATGTAGAGTAGAGGTAAGAGTTTGGCACATGGAGATGATGGGATTTGGACAAGGGCCTGGAGAAGAACATATGAATGTATCAGGCATGCCTGTGAGTTAAGAAAAAAAAATCTACTCATCAGTGTTATGTATTTTAATTATTAGTTTACAGGGATAGCGACTCTTTTAACTAAACATAGGGGAATGCAACTGTAAAAATTATATTCAATGAATACCTTCATGAAGAAGGATTCTTTTTTTTATGAAGAAGGATTCTGCAAAATGAAACTATTTCTGAATGGCTAACTGAGTGGATGGTCACAGAAACAATGCTTTGTGCCAACCCCACCCCCCACTTCCACACACAGAAAATTTCTGTGAAAGAAACAATCCCTTACAATAAATGTTTTCCCTAGTCTTTGTGAAAGTAGGAGTCTTAAGTAATTTCACATCTCTGAGCCTCATTTTCCTCATCTATAAAAGAGAGACTTGTTGTTAGGGAAGCACTTTGGTTTTTTAGATTTTGTTTTAGTTTTTAGCCAAGATACCCATTTATCCAAATCAAGTAGCAAAAGAGAAGTCATAGAAAGTATACATAGGAGAATATATAGCAGAATATACAGAGTAAAGGAACTCTCCCACTGGGAACAAGGTAACAGAGGGAGAGAGAGAGAGAGAGAGAGAGAGAGAGAGTCCTACATCTCACCCAAGGGGAAGTTCCCTGAAGTTTCCAGTATAGCAAACTGGGGATAGGGACATGATGGAGACTTCTAGCTCCTCTCACATTGACTTCTTCCTAGAGTTTTTCTCTTCATTAACCTAAAGTGGAGTTTGCACCTTCCAGTTTTGTTTTTTCTCAAAGCTGGAAGCCAGAAGATAAATTGGAAGAGAGTTGAAGAGAATCCCAAAGGGAATCTCAAGCTCAAAGAGAGCAAACCTCTTCTCTCTCCCACTCTCAATAACTGCCGCACTCCTCCTATAGGCTTGAGGCACTGGTTTCCACCAAGGAAGACATAGTCCCATACCAATGGGCTTTGGGACTCAGGTTACATTCCTCTTGTGTACTGAAACTCTTTTCAGTCCCTTGTAAAGATCAGCTAGGGCAAGTCCAGAACCTATAACTATACACAATATAAACACAAGCACTAGTGCTTTAAAACAAGAGAGATTTTCCCGGAATTTCAGGTAACTAACCTTTGATGCCATTAAAACTAAAATAAACAAATGCATATTAGCAGCACAGGCAGTAGATATGGCATTATATAAACACCTGGGGGGATATTACAGTGAAAACATGTCTAACTACATGCACATTCCAAAGCCAATGATGAGAGTTCTGAAGTCTTTCAGGTTACTTTTTTTTTACATTATCAGAGCTATTGTGTTAATTATTCTCCTGGTTCTGCTTATTCAGCTCTGTATCACTTCATGCCTTCCCAAGTTTCTTTGAATCTTCATGTTAATCATTTCTCATGGCACAATAATAGTCCATTACATTCACATAACATAATTTGTTCAACTGTTCCCTTGTCAGAAGGCACCCAATTTGCTTCCATTTCTACAACAGCAACAATGTATGTGTGTGTGTGTGTATATCCTTTCCCTCTGTATTTGGATCTCTTAGATCAAGTAGCAATTACAATGAAATCCCTTTCTCCTTTTCTCCTCAAACTATCCCCTTTCCCCTGTCAAACATTCCATCTACCTAGATTTCTGAAATCATTGGAGGGGGGGTAATAAAACAAAGATGGTCTTAGTGACACTCTGAGCACTGGTGGAGGATACTTAAGTTTATGTCAATTAACTTCAATCAGTAAACATTTTATCAAGCACCTACCAGGTGTTAAGCATAATGGTTCTAGGCTCAATTTATTTGTGTATGTGTTGAATTTCCCAAGGGAATATAATCTCCTTGAAAGCAGGGATTTTTTCTTGTTTTGGTCTTTGTAACCCAACACCTAACAGAGGGCTAGTTGGTGCTTAATAAATGTTTGCTAACTAATTGATTCCCTCTCTAATCCATCCTTCATACAGCTACCAAATTGATAATCTCAAAATATATATCTTGCCATGTTCCTCCAACACACTCAAAAATCTTTGCTGTCTCCCTACTGCCTCTAGAATAAAATACGGAATCCTCAGCATGGTACTGAGCTATATGGCTCCCATCTACCTTTTCTAGGTATTTCATACTACTTCCCCTCTTAGTTCCTCTATTTCAGTCAAACTAGCTTTCTGGCTTGCAGCAAGGTGCTTATAACAGATATTTCGCTTCCTGATTTCCTGCTTCCAAGACTTCAAACAAGCTGTTCCTCTTCCCCCTTTATGGAATGTATTTTCTTCCTTTTCTCTCACCTCCATCAAAGAATCTCTAGCTTCCTTCAAAGCTCAGCTTGGGTATCAACCTCCTACTTGAGAGCTTTCCTGATGCTTTCTCCCAACCTTAATTGTTAGTAATCTGTCCCCCTAAAAATTATTTTGTATATATTGTGCTTTGTATTTGTTGCAGCTAGCTGGCACAGTGCATAGAGTGCCTGGTCTGGAGTCAGGAAGACTTACCTTCCTGAATTCAAATCCAATCTCAGAAACACATCTGTGGCTCTATCCAAGAAAACAATTGATTAAAAAGTTGACCTGCATCAGTTGACCTCACCTAAAAAAAATCAGAAAAGGCATTATTAACTATTCAGTTCCAATAACAAACAATAAACATGGTTCTATGCTCTAGAGATACAAGACAAAGAAAGAAACTCCCTTCTCTGAAATAGCTTTATGGGGTGGGGGGATGGCTAGGAAATAAATAGGCATGTTGTTGTTGTTGAGTTTCAATCACATCAGGCTCTCTGTGACCTCATTTGGGGATTTCTTGGCAAAGGTACTGGAATGGTTTGCCCTTTTCTTCTCCAGCTCATTTTACAGATGAGGAAATTGAGGATAACAGGGTTAAGTGGCTTGCCCAGGGTTACATACCTAGTAAGTGTCTAAGGCTGGATTTGAACTATGCTCTATCCAATGCATCACCAGCTTTCTGTTCTTTGCATATTGAAATACTCATGCTTGTTGATGCTTAAAAAGAAAGTATTTAATAATATCTAGCATCACTGGAGGCCTTCAAGTAATGTCTCAATGTCCAATTTGTTGGGGGTATTACAGAAGATTCTTTTTTAGATGAGATGACCTCTGAGGTCCCTTCCAACTCTCAGACTGATTCTGTGCATTTTGCAGAGTGGATGGTCCTTAGGCACAGAATATACCTCCTACCCCTGACAAGCTGTTTTGCAAATGTTTTATCATTGGTAATGGGGAGGGGGGGGTCCAGGGAATGTGGCTATCTCTATTCTTAGGGACAAAAAACTGTCAGGTACAATTTACATTATGTGTCCTATTAGCAGTGGGCAGGCAGCAACATCTATGTAGATGAAGGGCAAAACATATTCATTAGTTCCTGCTTCTCTCTCTTTTATTTTTAAGTTCACATAATTTGGTAATAAATGGCACACAC